CGCCCTAGGCCGGATATGGAGGAATGCGGTCGTTGAATATATTTCAGTGGTTAATCCTGTTTCCAAACGCGCACTAGAAATAAAAAACCATAAAAACTTGTACATCATTGATTTGGCGTCTGTATTTTTTTATTTATTTGCGCATATTTATGTAAAATATTTTATGGCAAAAAAAAATAAAAATCCAATTGGCTTTTTTTGCCGCCACAGCAAAGTAACATATTATTATTATATAACACCCGCGGACGCTGTTTTTAGTCGTAATTTTATTTTAATCCTTCTTCGATGAGCCAATAATATATTCATTTTACTCCTGGTTAATTGTATTAATTGTGTAAAACATTAAAGCATCGGATATTTATATAACATATAGAATTCATAAATATGAGTGAGGTTGTATTATCCTTTTGTCTTTTAGTATATAAATATATAAAAAGTTATTCATTATAATGATTCAACTAAAACTATTATTGTTCTATAAATTAAACAGTTTGACCTAATATTAGAAATTACATAAATAGGTACACTATTGATTGGTAGAAATGTTACAAATAGGCATTACTATATCCATGACAAGCTTATAATTCAGTTTTTTAAACGGTATCCAAAATAATCAAACGCCTTTAATTCTCAGTGCAAATCAATATCACCCGTAGATGTCGCTTTCGTATCGACCAATTTTTCGGTTAAAACTGTTACCCTATGCACTCGTTAAGGGAAATGAAAAAATTTGCCAAAAATTGTAGCCAGATTTTGTAATTTTGACATGAAATTTTAACGAGAACGGACATTGCACTTAGTGAAAACATTTCTCAACTCGTATAAATTTGATATAAATATTTGAAAACTTGAACAATTTTTTTTTTACTTTAAAAAAAATATAATAACAAATTATAGCTTGTCCGTTTTTTTAAAGTAAATTTGATGCGTCGCAACACATTTTAAGTCTAATAGGTATCGCATGAAACAAATTCTTAAAACAAAAAGCTTTATTAAGTGCTTCTTAATTGCGTTTACGGTATCAACCAAAAAAAAAAAAAAAATACTTGACAGTTAAATAATTATTTTTACCAGAATAGAACTCAACACAAATTTACCTAAATCGACAATAATAAAATAGTGATTTAAATTGGAATGTTGGAAATATTAAAAGTTCTTTACTGTTTATAATTCGACGAGAAGCCGAGAAGGTTTATTTTTAAAGATATTTAAAAATGTAATCAATAATCCTTAATCTTGTCAATATACCAAATGTTGAAAATTAATACTTGTTGTTTTATCGGTTTGAGTGGGCGTTCCAAATGTTTTAAATGTTATTTACAAAAACAGTAGTAAAAAGTACAATTCAACACACAAACATCGACTTGACCGATGATTTCTAGGAATTTCCGGTACCTGACCGTATAATATGATGTTTTTTTTATTTTTAACGCGGTACCACCTATTTTTTGGGTGTGATAACCTGCCGGCAATAGCGCCGCCGACGGTTTCTCGCCAACTGTTTACAAAAATAAAGGGGGACACGTTTTCATTAAATATTATTTTAAATGCGCGTCCAGAAAAATTAAAATAATCCCTCTTACCATTATTATAATGTACCTACTCGACAGAGAACCGCCGTGCGCGCGGAGCATCCGGCAGTTTTAATTTCTACCACTTTCACACCCCGGTGTGTATTTCGTTTCAAGAACTCTGGTCATTATTAAAAGCCCGAGGGATTATACCGGCAGAGTATATTAAAGGTCCCCGCCGTTCCTTTGGCCGCAGAAAACGCGCACCGTGCACAAAAATACTTATGGCTCGTGAAAAGAAAAGTATAGCGCGGAGAGTCCAATTTACCGGCTGCCTCTCCAACGGCCGCCCTATCCCGCCTATACATGGCTTTTATATATGCGTGTAACCGGCTGAAAGCGCTATTTACGAGAGAACAATAAAAAAAAAAATTAATTAACTAATAAAAAATTTACAATAATAATAATAACCACAATGAATGACGGGACCGTCTCATTGCTCGGAGTGTCTTCTAATTGACTTTCAGCCAACGACATTCTGAAATTTCCAAAAACATAATTTAAAAAAACACTTGATATACGGCCGTATTGTTATCATTATTATAACACTATATTCGAAATGGTAGTTACGAGTAAAGTGTAATAAAACTGCAACGATGCGTCCAGGCCAATTAATATTGTATATATTTTTCAAGAATAAAAAAACGAACACTTGACATATTAACAGAGATTATTACGGGCATGTATAGTGTAATAGTATAGAAAAATAAATGGTGAGTTTAAGACTAGTTTTTACCCGGATAAGGCGAAGCAATACTAGTGATGGAGGCAAAGAATGAACAACGTTTGAGTAGAACACACATGAATATCTTTATCAATTACCATTTTGATATATTATATGCCTTATCCCCCGGCGTGTCCTCTCTAACAAACAATTTTTATTGTCATTTGAATTTTCTTGCTACTTTTATTAGTTTACTGTTCATTTTAAGCACCATTATCGTTACTATCATATTTCTCGTGAGCCCGTTCCAAAGACGTCGTTCGCCGTAAAACACTTAGCCCGGCATTAGTGACCGTGTACTCACTTGTTTTCGTGGTGTTTAATTATTAAAAAACGCTAAGTCAAGACGGCGTCTTGTTTATTATTTATTATGCTTAAAACCGTTTTCACGCTTAATATTTCATACATTAGTATAACATTTTCTATTGAGATACAAAAATGCACTATCCGGTTAAGTCGAGTGTAGAATAGAAAAGTGTTGAACGTTTTTTTTTTTTTATTATTATTATTAAGCGCCCATTTGGCATTTATTATGTTTTTTTTTAAAAGTACTATAAGTTTTCCTGGGAAATAATTAATCGATTTACATTCCAAATGGCTCTTAAAAAATAACAAAGAGCACCAATTCCACTGAACTAACGATGCGCTCCGTGCTCACACTTAATATTATCGTTAGACTTTAGAAGTGTTCTATTTAGAAGACTTTTCATTTTTGTGTATTTTGTGTTTAAATATAAACGCTAACCTTATAAACGCTATACAACGAAATACATATATTTTAAACGTTTCGGTTATTAAATTAACATTTTGACTGGAAAGTGACATTTAGCGAACATTGAATAACAACACAACGTTCAGGGAATTATTATAGTTGAATAACAGCTGTCATTTTGATAATACTGAAAACGCGTCTGTTTTACAGAGAACACTTAAAAGTTATAATCCCCTATTGTTATTTAGTATGAAATTATGATAATTTGATATCATTTTGTTAATTTTATTTCAAAAATTTGTCTGTAGTTTTTTTTATTATTAAGAAGTTATAAATAATGGTATATTCGCTTTTACAAACTAAAATATCGAAAACATATTTTTTGGTATAAAGAATTTAATGTTTTGCAAATTATGTTGTTTAAATGTTTTCAATAGATATTTTAACGGTCCTTTCTAGCCAAAAACGCTTACAATTTTTTTTAAAGTATTTAAAAAATATATTAAAATTCTTAGGCCAACTGTGTATTAGCATGGTTTGGGGGGGGAATCATATTTTATTTTCCTGAAAAAAAAAAATACACTTGATTGAACCCTTCTGTGAAGTTAATACTCGTGGTAATCGTGATTGTGTTTTCTTAATTTTTACTTAAATACAAATCAAATACCAGTCCTCAAGTGAACATTGTAAAATAATCTAAAAATGGTATATTTGAATTTTTTTGTAATTTTGCCACAACAATTATTTTGTCAAACAAGTAAAGTAACACGCCTATATTATCCTTAAACAACAGAAAGTGAAAATGTAAAAAATTAGCTATTTTGTAGGATTAGGTATGACATGTAAATTCTTGATATTGGCTAAAAAAAAATCATTTTTTAGAACTACTATTTCGGCGCAGAGTTAAACAACGATTCTCGGTTCGGTAACTACTAATACAATCGTTTACTATACAGTTAAGTCAGGACGACGGATGTGATTTACGATCGTCGGCCGTGGTATTGTTTTTCTTTTGACCCCAGAATGCTGATAATTATTTAACGCTCGTTATCGGCAAAGGGATAAGAGGCTTAGAAACCGGCAAAAACTAGGTTGGCAAATTCGTTTGGCAAACCTTTCAACAACGATCCCTTATACACAAAGACTAGTATGTATGTAATGTATATGTGTGTGTGTGTGTGTGCTGTTGGTTTTTACTGCTGTTAATAAGTTGTCGTGGTCGGTAAATCGAAATTCGCCACTTGCCAAACCCCGGACAGACAATTAAAGCAACAGAATAAAAACCCTTAACAACGAGCGTACAAATAAAGGCGTTGTTAACATTGGTATAGGTAATATAACGATATATAGTATATATATATATATTTATAAAAGTACACATGCTTAGAACCTCTGACGAGAGAACACGAAATATGCATTACATACATACCGCACTATAAATTTGCCAATATAAATCAAACAGAAAGATCCCCCCCCCCCCCCAAAAAAAAAATGAACATTTATATTTTTAAAGTACCTAAATAAAATATGTATGAAATATATATATATATAAATATTAGAGCGTACCGAATGGTCTCTCGAGAAATCTTTTTTACACACATATTTAGTATAGGAGTGCGAGAATATCGTTCTTGGTAGCGTTTACTTTGTACGGTTATTTTTATTTTTTTTTTTACAAGCAGAAAAAAGCGTATTTTAAGCTACAGTAAAAATGGGCTCTATTTGATTTTAATTAATATGCCCCATTAGAGGGACAAAGGAGCGTATCCGCGAGGGAAGTGGCAAGCGCGATATGCACACATATAGCTGCTATGCCAGTTTTTTTTTTTTTACTCCTCTCTTAAAGAAGAGGTCCTTTCAAAGGGAATTACTATCATTATTATAACAACCGGACGTGATCGAGTGGCGGCGATGTCAACTACTCGACGACGGTGTATCATTTATCGGTTTTAATTAATATCGCTGCTTTTGTATTGTTATTATTTTTTTTTACCTGTAAATTCCAATCGAATCCACCCACGTTAACGCCACCGGCGTCTCTGTAGTGGAACTCCAACGTAGTATCGTCGATCACGTCGATCACGGGACACACCACGGTCGAAGCTTCCCTGGCTATTCTGTCCAACAGCGGTTCAAGCCACCCTAAAAAACACAAGCACCCCATACGTGTTATGCGATGACAACAAGCAAACATAGAACGTGCGTTAGTATTGTAACGATAAATAATAATAATAACAACATCGAGTTCGGTTGACTATGAGAAGAGTCACCCCACAATGTATTTACGAAGGACTATAGGGAATAGGAAAATATTCAACAGAGCTTAGTACATCATATTTACCCGATAAAGGCTATGAAAAAAATATATTTTTAAGTTAATAAATTCCTCAATAGTAATTGTTTTAGCATTTTAAAACATTTTGCTGTTAATATTTTGACAGCAATCAAAATTTTTACAATGTTCTTTACATAATAAATCAATTTTGAAATGTTTAATTCATTCGGATAGTGTTATTTGAAATTTATCGATTAAAATATTATTATTTTGTTCGTATTAATAATGCTTTATTCAATTTGTTTTAGTTGTTATTCAATTAAATGGCGCCCAACTCGGCCCCGGTGTAATAAAATTCCACAGAGCGCAACATTGAATACCCGGACGACCTTTGAGTACCTATTTGAAATGTACCAGCAAATAGCAATACGAATAATATACATATATACATTTACACAATTAGCTTTTATCGTGCAAGTGTGCTTCGGCGAAAAATAATACAGCCCGAGACCGTGTGTAGTAACATACCAGTAGACGTGATTGAGACAATTTTCGTTGGAAATCGAGCTCGTTAAAATCAAAAATAGTAAACTTCAAACGACAGCCGACGAATCGATTTTCGGGGGCAACAAGTAAGTAAACAACAACAACAAGACGGTGAAATCCGAATCTGATTTGAGCAATAATGAAGTTCGCGGAACAAGGTAGACGATATGCGCGGAAATTTCAGTGCGATGTCTGTTGGACGTCTCTAGTTTTGTTTTAGTGGTGTTTATCCGCCGAGTTGTCTTTTTAACTTCTCATACTTAACACTCAACTGCTGCCCCCCCCCCTTCACCGGCTCCGGTCATAACGTATCCAGACGGAAAATCATCTCTACGCGTGCAGGTAGGTACATTACTTAATACGGTTTACACGTTAATCATTGAAGTGTACTCGGGCTTAGTGAATATCATATGGATGTATATGCTCAGTGCAAAACTTTCGAAACGCTCTCCGTGTTCTCGTGGGACATCAAAGTATGCGTGTGTATGCGATTCTAGGTAAATAACAGAAAATACGCTAATATCCAGACCAGCCAGAGTCAGCTTTGCCCGTGTAACATGTTCGGATTTCAAAGTTTAACCACCGGCCCGGACTATATGCGTGTATTCACTTTAATATTTTATGCATATTTTTACTTTTGGCAAAAATCGTCTTCTCCGTGTCGAACGTGGCGTTTCGCGAAGGTAACGGTTCTACAACGAAATCCCAAAAGGTCCAAAAAAAAAAAAACAACAACACTAAACCATAAGAAAATTACTTTCGTCCGCGGTGGGCACGTTAGGTGTTGTACACCATTGAAACAAACTCGCACATGGGCTTGAAACAATAAAGTAGTGTACACAATCCCTACACTCGAGTAAAGTCGGAGGAGACATAATCGTATCAAATGTTTAAAAAAAACCCTAAAACATTATTTTTAATTTGAAAAATAAAAATTGTACTCAAATAAACTAATAACAGAACAATTCGAGTAAAACGAATCCGAATAATAACCAATAACAATTATTTTTTTATATTCAACTAAGCGGTACAATATTGTTGTCGTTTAGTGTCACTCGTTTTTAGAAAATAAGTTTTCAATGTGAACGCAGTTTAGGTAGTTCGGATTGATTCGAAATTCTAATGTGTTACACTATGATCGAATAAATAACTAATATTGAGCGAAGCCAGCAATGATGTTTGGAAAGCGTTGAATAAGAAAAATAAAAAAACCAGGAATGTGTTGAGTTAGTATAGATTTAGGAATGCGGAAATGAGTATGGATTGAGTTGACTTAAAAACACTTATTAACTGTTTCGGTTACGAATATTGGACTCGTTGTTAATTGATCGCCTAAATATTTTTGAAAAACAGTACAACGACCGAAAACAATGGACGGAAGGCATCGCGGTATAATAAGCATTTAACCCGCGATAATAGCCCGTTTATGGAAAAGTGTTGTTATTAGTTCCGATTAAGGAGGAGGAAAGTGTTGTTTATACCACATTATATTGTATTGTACAACATACCGTACAACAAGCGATTATTAACACCGAGTTATAATTACAGACTATGTTTTGCAAAGCCCCGCACGAGTATAACAACGAATTGGACGTTCCCGATAAAAAGGCCAGTGGTAAGTTTTCGACTGGATGTAAAGCAATGCCAAACAAAAGTTAAAAGGACATTTTTATTCCACATAATATATTATTATCGTTACGCGAATAGCATGAAAACCAAACGGACACACACGGATATTTCCGAAACGGCTGGGATCTAGACAAAAAAAAAAAAAAAAAATATGTTCGCAGGTCGATTGTCATCAATTGAAATTTATTACCGTACTTGTCGGTGGAGTTCGAAGCAAAGTGAGATTACAAATGTGAAAACAGCGCATTTACGCGGCACACGGCGTCGGGGTTTGTCCCCCTCCCCGGGTCGTTGCCGTTTTTATTAGCCACTAAATCCTAAGGCAAACGACCGTTTTCCGAAAATCCAAATGTGCCCGTCAAGTATAAGGTATAATAATAATAATAAAAAAATCGGTACACGATTTGTGGTTACCTTCTGTGCACTCGCAATGCGAATCGAGATAAGTCAAGACGGGCGCGGAAGCGTGTCTGGCGCCCATTAGTCTGGCTCGTATCAGTCCCTCTCTCTTGGCCGCCCGAATTATTTTCACTTTTGGATAGTTTTCCATGTATTCCTCGAGCTGTTTCTTGAGATGAGCTGCAAACATAATACAATGCAAAAAGTTAACACAACCGAAAACATTATTATTAAAATATTATATTGTACATCGGGTTTCAAAAGCAGCCCTAAGACATTTTGACAACGCGTTTGTTTTCTAAGTGACCACAATGTATTACATGTTATGTAAAACTATTATTAAATATATCAAATAAAGAATATAACTAATTCGTACTGTGTTTGTTTGATATTCTTGGTTGGTTCTATCTAAAGAAATTATGTGTTGTTTTGTGAAAATGTTCAAAAATTGTACAGCTGGTTTTAAAACTAGGCGCCTTAATCAGTAGCGAACTGTACCCTAATCGTATCCGCCATAATACTAAAAATTTAATTTTTAAACACATAATAATTGTCATTAGCTATTATGCTTTTGTCGATATTTGTATTTTTATCTGTCAACGCTGAACCTCCCTTATTTACTACTATTTCTACTACTCACTTACGTATAATACTTTCATACTGTGCTGCTTTGAACCAACCATACACAGATTTTGTCGAAGCTTAAGTACACACGACCGTGCGTATCGTAGTACATGTTGTTAATGTAAAACGAATCGAATGTATAAAATATTATTACTAATCTAGTAAGGGAAAACGATTATAAAACCTTTATGAAAAAAACCATACAACAGTTTAAATATATAACGTTTCTGTAGAAAAAAAAAAAATTAATAATAAAACCGTTCAATTGAAAACACGCCGGCAATGGCAAGTTTATACTAATAATTTACACAGTTCGAAATAATACAGTACGTTTTGTATTATATCAAATATTACTAGTTTTAAATTAAATGAATTTTTCAAAATTTCTTTGGAAAGACGAGCAAAATATTTGCTATTCAAATACTTGTCGAAACAGTGTTTTCCAGTGTTAAGTTAGAACTTTTACTGGCTATAATTTCGAGAAAAATAGTCGGGTCGAGTTGAAATTTATTAGGAATATTTATTTGGTATGCCTGCACACGTCAGCTGTATCAAATTTAATTTATACCCATTTCCTACCCCCCTAGGGGTGTTACAAGTTTTTTTGGGGTTTTTAGCCGCGATTTTAAGACATTTAAGTTGAAAATTTGCCAGTAGTTAGAACTCATATGTATCCAAATTTTCAAACTGATACGTTAAAAAAACAGAATAAGAATTTAATTTTGAATGTTTGTTTGATTCATCCTGAAAAGTTGCAAAAAGTCGCAGACGAGGAGTGATAAAAAAAACCTGTATGGTATGCCCTCTAATAAAATATGATCCATACAAATTGCCTCCACTCGATTCGCAATGTTATAGCACGTTGTTATACAATATTATGCTTTACGTTCAAACCGTTTAAGGCTCTAGCCGAACATAAAACCTACACGAGGTGACGAAAACAACGGTAGAAAGCGCAGCAACAACAACGACAAGTCGAAGCTTAAGTACACACGACCGTGCGCGTATCGGATATACATGTTGTCGTTCAAAGCAGCTGAAAAAACGAACATATCTTCTTCTTAGTCACAGTTCAAATTCGCGTTTTACGGCGAGTGTCACAAACAAGTCTGAGCTACGTCTGAATTAGCGAGTCGAGTAAGTCCGAACAAGACGTTTGTTTCGTTTAAAAAAAAAGTTAACATGTATCGTTTTTTAAACGTAATTGCCTTGGTCGGCTTAGCGTGTTGGTCCGTCGGGCCATCGACACCGGCCGTTCACTGTATGACCCCAATAGAATTGTTCGACAACATGAACAAGGCGCTGACGAATCCAGGTTGGAAGACGTTAAACGTAACCGTCAGAGACCGAGAAACAAAAGTTTGGGTCCACAGCAATGTACTGCACGAACATCGTCAGTCGGAACCGCCCGTGACCGCGGACAACGCAGACCTGAAACTCGGGTTCATGTCGCTCGTCTTAAGCTGTAAGTACGCCGATATAGTGTTGTGGTACGTGGAAGCGGTACGGCTGATACTGGTGGATTACCAGCAGGCAACACCGTCGGCGGAAATAATCTGGCACTATGACTTCTGGCAGATGATGCAAGGAATCAACGAAATTCGGCCCTTGCTGAAGCACATGTACGGCGCCATCGCGTGCGTCAACGACATGGACCGGGTGTTCACCCAGCCCCGGTTCCAGGACAGCCTGCGGACACTGATAGAGGAAATTGACGCCATCTATGAAAACCACAAATCCGTCTTGAAGCCGTTTCGCATGATCGCCATGACGCCTGATCTATTGAGTAAAATATATGATTCGTTTGTGACATCGTTTGTCACCTATTCTTTAACGATGATAGATTTCCTGGCCGAATTTTGCGTTGTTCAGCGCACGCCTAACAGAGAAAGCTTCGAAAGTCTTCACCAACAGGCTAAACCCTCGTTAGACCGAGAAATGAACCTGCGCCAATTCCTGACCTTCGTACTCAACACCACGGCTCAGGACAACATAAAGAAATTCTACCACGACCTCGGTTTCCGGTGCGTGACAGGGTGTGTCACGCACGAGACGTTTGTGGTTTCCGTAAATAATTGACGGTAATCTGCATTCACTTTTCAACGCTACATATATTACTGTCTGTTATTTTTTTAAATAATAATATTGTAACTATTTTTGTTTGAAAATAAATTGATTTAACTAAACAACTCTGTAGTGTATAAATTTATAAATGTTTAAGTTAACCTATATATTTTGTTTAAATGCAGTATGCAAACACTTTAAGGCAAAATCAACAACTGACTGTAAAGAACTGTATTATTCAACATCAGACGAAATACCGTTAACAAGAAATGCCGGTCGGTAGTCGATAATTAAATTATAACACATATATTCCGTTTTGACGTTAATTGTGTCAGTACAATAATTATCACATATTATCGCGTTAAGGAAATTTAATAAAATCAAAGTTCGATTTCCAATTTATATTATATCTCAGCTGTGCTACTAAAATATGCCTTGCAATGAGACGTTTTTGATTCATTTACAGCGCGTTGGTTGAACGAATACATCATTTTAAATAGTATTTATATTATAATTATATTAGGTAACAAAAAAAAATTCAGTAAACTAAAGAATAACAATTATTCTTGTTTACGAGTTTTGTAGTGTTCATTTAACAATTTTAAAAATCATTATTTTTTGCATTGTTGCTGTTGTTAGTGTAAAACGAATCGAATGTATAAAATATTATTACTAATCTAGTAGAGAAAACGATTATAAAACCTTTATGAAAAAAACCATACAGCAGTTTAAATATTTAACGTTTCTGTAGAAAAAAAAAAAATATTAATAAAACCGTTCAATGCAAAACACGCCGGCAATGGCAAGCTTATAATAATAATTTACACAGTTCGAAATAATACAGTACGTTTTGTATTATATCAAATAATACTAGTTTTAAATAAAATGAATTTTTCGAAATTTCTTCGGAAAAACGAGCAAAATATTTGCTATTCAAATACTTGTCGAAACAGTGTTTCCACAGTGTTTCCAAAATCAAAAAAAATGTGTGATTACAGAAACAGTTTTCCTTATCTGAGAGATGGCTTTACCTAATTCAACCTTAACATAATCTTATAATTTTATTTTTCGAAATAACTTAATATTTCAAAACGTCAGCTACAAAAAAAAATTATTTTTGTTTATTATTGTTCAACTTTTTTTTTCTACAATTGTACATCCATATTTCTTTCTAATACAAAATGTATACAACAAAAAAATGATTTAACGGGAGTGTCAAGAGAAACGCAGAAAGAGACCCTCGAGTTAATGTACTTGTTTAATAATTTTTTTTTTGAACAGTGTTCGAAAGAAATAGTAAATTCAACTAATAAACATCATCACATTTTCACATTTGCAACAATAACTGGAGAGTTCCCAAACATTTTCAACGTTTTCAAATAAAAACATGTTTCGGTTGTTAACATCCAGTTGGTTAGGCGAGTAGTAACCGTAGTAGGGTTTTGTTTGGTGTTGAATTAATTCGATTGGAGTACACTACACTGTGAAGTGAGTGAGACGAGACAACGTGTGCAGTTTAAACGGTACAAATCCCAACACGAACCACGCGTTGTTGATTTAGCAAGGTTTCATATTGTTTGTGTCGCTGAATATCCGCCATTCTAAAAGCGGCGGCGGGACGATCGAGAACGAGAACAATGATCCATATTGTACTCCGAGTAACTTCATAAGCAGTTGATTATGTTTGCATATTATTTATGTTTTTGGAGTATACAAACCACCGACAGCGAGCATAGTATATACGTATCGTCGATGCGTTTCACCGACTTGAATGTACTCTTCTCGAATGTTATACACACATTTGTACACATTTGTTCGGAGCATCGGCCGTATTCTAATGCTGTGTGGGAATTCTATTCAAGTCGCTGAAAATGATTATCTACTCGAAACGCTCGGGAGTGGGGGTTTTTCTTATGAAAACATAAAAAAAAAAAAATAATAATAACCATTTAGGATGAATGTCGTACGACGAAACACAGGGACTAAACAAAACCAATATTACCTTTATGTTAAATTTTATACACCATATATTATGTTCGTAAACCGTATAGTAAAAATATATGGATCAAAATATTTTAAAACCAATACATACATACACCGCAAAATAATATTATATTACAAACTAATTACTTTTCTTAGAAACGTATAAAATCGAAGGAATTATTCGATTATCCGTAAACTACTATCGTAAGAGTAGGACGTATATACTATATTATATATCAAATATGTAAGTAAATTTCAGAACATCACCGTCGGCAGTATTAACATTACACTTAGTTTTCACAACATAAACACTGTGTCAGTTCATTAGGATATAGCAATAAGGCTTTAAGGAGTGGCAATTGTTTTTGCCAAAAATGCACATAGATTAAGTTTCTTAGGTTTTTGAAACGAAGGAGATATAAACTGCGCCCCGATTTTTTTAATAATTTAAAAATTCAGCCAATATTTAAAAAAAAAAATATATATTTTTGACACAGTATGAGTTTCGATTTTTCTGTTAGAACATCTTGAAAAACCCAAAATTTCAACGATCTTGGTCAGGATACCACTTGCCAAGTGGGGTTCAGTTAGGAGTGACGGTGTTGGTTTTCCAGGATTAAGTTGAAAAGTCCGTTTATTCGACACCTTGTACATTTCCTTATCGCGTACACTTGTCAAGCAATTCGGTCACATCTATTGTACCTAGGATAGGATCTTCATTCAATCCCTATCTTCCTCCACACTATTCGGTGTCTACAGGTGTTCTTTATAATATCATCTTTCGTCTTACGACAAATGTATGTCCACGTTGGAATTTAATATTTTTGTTTTCAACTCTCACAAACGCAGTGACCGAATGCTGTTTGCCCACAAAAACTGGTCCCGGGAGAGATGCACGTTCCCGGGAAACTAAGCAGTTTTAGCGCATAATTTTCCACGGACAAAATTAAAGATGACGAATTTACATAAGTGACTTTCGATAGTACATGTATTATTATTTATTTCTCTCGGGGCAAAGTTCGAAGACGTCGAAATTTGCATTTTTCAGCAGTATTTTCGTCGAGAAAAAAACGCGGACACGTCTCTATGATATCGTTCACGAGGATAAAATCGCTGAGTTTCCCAGAAACGTGCACAACTCCTGCGAAACTTGGCGCTACGAAATTTATTAGTCGAATAACGTGTTGTTAAATGCAAACTGCTAAACTATCCAAGGTGGTAAATGCACGTGCGAACGGTTTGAACGGGAGAATGGGGTTTCTCGGGATACTGAAAATTAGCGCTTTTCAAAATACCTATATTTAGTGACAGAGATTCGCTGACAAAAACGTCTAACACTAATTTTAAGGTTTTTATAAGCTCAAGCTCCCTTCCCCCTCCCCCCCCCCCCTTAAATCTCCACCCGTGGCCGTAAACGGTTGAACACGAGCGATAATTTATACAATATTGGTGTATCTACTGTTTACATACAACAATACAATATTATTATATGATTTTATTTATGTGTCCGTCCGCGAACCGAGCGCAACAGGAATGCACCACTATTGCCTATCCGTAACGCCGTCTTACGATTGTCGTTGCTCGTTCAGTTTTATTATCATCGTGCTGATCGCTTGTCTTTTTTATCGAATTTATTGGGTTTGGTTTTTGGCGTCGTAAAAAAAAAAAAAACAACTCAAGACTGATTGAAGACATTCAAGCAATTGACCACCGTTTCCGCGGCCTTTGCCATATTATGGTAAATTTATACTACCCGTTCGCCAAATGTCCACATGCGCCAATGGTTCATCGAAAACGACATCTGTGTTTGATGTAGATTGATGGTTAAAATATTAGTTTCGATTTCGGACAAATTTCGCCTCCCCTCCCCCCCCCCCACGAAAGCGTGCTGTATACCGGGACACCGCTCGCCGCTCGAGTACAGGCGCGTTTTAATATTAAAATTATTAATTTTTGCAAAACATATATTTGTAATAGATATTTGGAGAAAAAAAACATAGATTTATTATATTAGTATAAACTATACACACTGTACTATTGTTTTAAGTGAATTACAGTATTTTAGAGCATTAGAAAAATTATATTTTCGCCAACGTTCAAACCTCGCCACACAAAGATTTGCTATGAAAACGGTTGCCTTAATAAATCCAATGGTTTTTTTTTAGATACAGCAAATATGTATAACACGTTAAACGTCTCAGCGCATCCGCTAAAACATTTTTAAACTGTGTACTTTTTACGATATAAGATGACGGGCGTAGAAACTCTTTGTTATTTTTCTGTTCAAGGCGCAGTTTTACACGATGGATATTTCATTAAGTTTATCCGTGGACAACCTAGGTGTACTATATAAATTATGTTACCCCAACTTTTGGAAAGCTCAAGCAGTTGCCTGGCTACTTTTTTTTTTGCCGCGTTCTCAATAAACTTATAAACTTTATAAGAAGGTGTGTACTCACGCATGTCGGAAAAGTCGTCGACTAGAATGATTTCCCTGATGAGATGTTCCGGAGATCTGTCCAGTATGGAATGAACAGTCCGCAGTAGCACGGACCAAGCTTCGTTGTGGAAACACACGACCACCGAAGTCTGCGGCAAGTTTTCCACATATCTTCCCGGTTGTTTGCACCTGCACACAAAATACAATTTTTTTTTAGCTCTCCGCTCGAAGATGTCTTTGCGGGCACATAACGATAACAAAATAATAACAATAGCATGATATACATCCGCCGGGAGAGGAGTTATTGTTGTGTTATCCGGCGGTCGGGTTAATGGTTCCCCGGGGCAATGAATATCAATTACTGGGTTGCAAACGCGCGGACGTCGCCGTCATTAACTGACGCCGCATTAGCACACACCGACGGATAATAATAAGTATATATTTTACTTATGTAATAATATATATTATATAGGTGCCGACACCGACCATCGCGATCACTCGGGAGACGACACTATCGCTGTAATATAAAGAATACTACTACTACACGTCGGCCATATCGTTTTCGTTGACCGGGTAAATTAATTTAACCCAAGGGTTCGCCCGACAAAAAAAAAAACAACACATCTAGGGGACAAGGCGAATAAAAACCCTTTTATTTATTATATACAACAAGGTGGGCCCCGTATATCAAGCGATTGTGGGATTTGGCGGGCGCCGCCTTTTTCCTAGAGGCCGGCACGCGGACAATGAACTACTAATTCACAGGGATCGATATAGGATCGAACGTGTGTTCGTTGTATTATGCGTATAATATAAATATACATATATATATATATATAATAAATTTAAGGCAAAAGTTAATAAACTGAAATTTCTGAAAGGTCCAGCCGCGAGAGGTCCGCGACCGTTTAGAGGGCGAAAGAATTGCTGGCTGTTGGGGGGGGGAAAAAAACAAAGCGCTTTTCGGCCGGTGGCTTTTTGATTTATTGCCGTTAGGTCCCGAATTAGCCACCGTACACGGTGAGAGGTGGGGTTGGTTTAGATAAAAAAAAAAAAACTAAACTAAAAAGCGAATTCCGCTTGGCCTTTGTTCTGGTAGTCAGAGTTTAGCCATTATTCCGGATCATCAAAGGCGCGCACAACAGGTGGCTTTTGTGCCACCGCGAGACGTCCGGCGAGGCATTGGAGTCGTTGGATGTATGAAACAGACGCACTCTGTCGTGAGTTTCAATAACGACAAAATCACATTTTTCCTTTTTATTTTTATTAGTAACGTAATGCTTTTGAAAGGTAGTACCCATGTATACACTAGTATGTGTACGCAGCGGTTCCTTTAATTGTAAAACTACTCTTTCCGTCGAGTATCCGCTACTTTTATAAATAAAATAAAAAATATTTAATCAACTCTAAACGCAGCTTTTCTTTGCCTGTCTAATAAAAATAAAATCACAATTATTATTTTCCATAAGCCATATTTCACAAAGAACGGTGCGCACAATACAAAATAATCACACGGTTTGCTGCACAAAGGTTCTTCGGGAAATTGCAACTATTATTGTATCGCTTTCGCAATTACGGTTACATTTCCACGATTTGCATTATTGTCGGTAAAATTACAACGATATTTTAACGGGTTCGTCGTTTTCGGAAAACTACATTAATTTCAATTTAATATTTACACAGAAATCACAACTCTCTGTTAGTATTGTCACCAAGCTATTTTCTAGCGCACGGTTATAACTATACACTATCTATTATGCACTCAAAATGGTAATTGAAACGACTTTGTAGCATTGAAGTTTTATTTAGTTATTATGTTGAAAACCAATTTGTTATTTTCATTTACACGTCAATCTAGGCGACCTGACATCTATCTAATCTAAATAGATAAAACCAAAGCTCATCGCCGCAATGAACAGTAGTTTTTTTTTTTGTTCTACGACCTCGCAGATCGGTTGACGACGCTTGTTACAATAGTATACAACAACAGCTATGGTAATAAAGTATACTGTTAACCATAACGTCGTGAGTTTGATGACAACGAAATTGGTACAAGAATTCACGGGTCGTTTCGTTTTGGGTAAACAGTAGCGTTGGACACCGCGGTAGGTCGTTGGCATTACTATCATCATAAGTCGGTAGATAATTACCAGAATAAATTACCACCTAGGAAACACTGCGCTGTTCAGAGCTGAATAATAACCAAAATAAAATAATAACACCCTACCGGATTACCGTTCGGTACGCAGTTGACTTGCTCTACGCACCCAAACGACAGTTATACCGCAATGTGGTTAACATAATTGCGGTCGGACATTAACTCGTTATTTAGTTAATTTAATACAGTGTTATGAACTAAGACTTATAGTGGACCATCTCGGGTAAATAGACTTCTTTTGAAGCACATACACGACAGAGCGACGTTGTGCACGCGTGCAGTGTAAATATTGGATGTAGAAAGTCGTGTAGCGTTCGACAAGAGCTCGACCCACGTTCAAATTTTTATTATCTATACGGTTAGTTGTAAGTTTTACATATTGTAGCATTCAATTGGGACGTTAATTTCATAGCCGCGATATTTCACACATTCTCAGATTTGTTATATGTTTATAGATGGAACACGTTGTCTTTGAATTTAAGCAAGCATACACGAAGCGTGATGACTTCACGTGAACTGTTTGGCCGCAAACAATGCGACGACGGTTGGCCTCAAGGAATCGCCGAAGGTCCGTAACCATTCAATAGCATAACGTTATTATTGTACAAGCGCGACGACGCTATAATATATCATTATCATTATTATTGTATATAAGATGCAGTTTGAAATCACGGCGTCGTGTCCTAAACGCCGTCTGCCCGTTGCTTTGTGTCACTGCCACCGTAATACGCGTTATTATAATATATCCTAACAACCGCACAAGGTAAACGAAGGTAAGAAACGTGGAGAAACACGAAGACACTTGCATATATAGCGTTCAAGATTTTTTCCTAGCCGCCGTGTACCGGCCACCGTTGCTAATTTCTATTTGGCAACGGTCTACGGTGCAATGTCAACAGTAGCGAAAACGAAACTCTATAGTGTACTACAAACCCAACGGTAAATGCGTTCATTGGCCATAACACTCGAAGAGCGAGTAAACTTACTGAGAACAAAAAATAATATACGGTGTAAAGAGTCTGAGGAGCCTGAGGTATGTAAATTATCCGGTCTGAGGGACCGAAATGCAAACACCAAATGATTATCTTCATAATATTATGCTATAAAATATACTGTTAATTGATTTTGCAATCATTTTCTGGTGTAAGTAAAATTCGAAATTGTTACTTGGCAAAACGATACAACTAAAGACACACACACAAAGTCGACTATACCGACGAGTCGGCCGCTTCAACAAAGTTGGAAAAGTATAAAAACCAATAGCATCTCAGTTTCAACAAATGAATGCGAGATTAAAATACTGACCGAAGCGGCTGACTGTTTGCCGATGTATTTGAATATTGCGTTATTGTTATTAAAATTTAAAACTAATTACCAAGCCAAACGCGGTGGCAAGTGGCGAATAAATAAGTGAGTTCGGCATTCGTTTCGGGTCGACAAAAGTTATAAGGCAATTTGCTTATTAAGCGTTGTATATTTTTCGTTCGACCGTCTGAAAATTAATTATTTCCATTGTCGCCAGTAACATCTTGACGTTATGCAAATGACACTAACAACCAACAACGTTTGCCGTCGTATTGCAAATAAATGTCGATCGACTTGGCCAGATTAACTTTGAATAATATTAATGGCATTATTCTTGGCCGGTTTCAGTTGCCCAGCGCCGCCGTGCAATACCGATCATAACTTGTGTTATGTGCAAACGATCAGACGTCGTGTTCCGATCGGTGAACTCCTGCTAAACGATAGTTTGATTATTGCTGTTGTTATTGCTATTAGTTAGGGTCAAACATTATGTAAGTAAATATCGGACGCGGAGCATCGATTAGGCGGCCAAAACAAGCCCAATTGTCAAAAAGCATAGACTAGATACAAGTGCCAGTTGTCCAGTATGAAATTTAGATGGAGATGGAGTTCATAATTTACTATTAGACCATATAATATAATATTTGGATCAATAAAAACTTTACATATTCTATTTTTTTTTTTTTTTTTAATAAACGATCTAGGATAAATTATAAATTGTGCATGAGTTCATTCAATTCATGTCAAACGTACAGAGAGAAATGGTCAATGTTTTCTTTTAGTTTTGGATTAGTAGTATGGCGCATGGGTCTGCCGAACGACTCGTGCCAAATTTCCATGCTGTTTGCTATTGGAATGAAGTAGTCATTATTTTTGTTTTTTGCCCGACAACGAACCGCGGTATGCAGTACACGAACGTAGTTTGTTTGTCCAAGGGTAATTGGCGTTTTTAATTAACTTGATTATCATATACAGCGTCCATGCGCTGTTTAACGTTTGGTTTTAATTAAACGCCCTGTTGTCCGATCGTTTAGACGGTCGTGTATACCTATTTTTGCCCTAAGCCACCATTCGGTTACCCATATATTACGTTTACAACCCTAAACTATGTCCACAACCAAACAAACAACTCAAAATTAATGGACAACAACGTCATTTGTTTCGGATAAAGCGAATTTTCGATATTTTTGGTTTTTGTCAACGGTGGCTTTTTGTACCCGAAACATATTCATCAGAGAAAGGTCATGGGGGGATGTGAACCACTAATAGCAAGTATTAAGATACTACTTTTGTTAAAAAATAAACAGGGTTTACCGAAGGATTACAGTAATGTCATGTCACTTTTTCTTCAGTTTTATTTTGTAGCGTTAGTTTTGGACTTTGGGTCTACATACTGGAGTGTTTAAAAATCAGACGGTACATATTTTATAGTGTAATTATAAAATAAAAAAAAAAAAACTGAAGTCACACTTTACTCAATCGTGGAAACCAATTCAAGTAGGTACATATTTTCTGCCTATAGAGCGATTTTAATGTATTTTTATCATTTTTTTTTTTATGCTGCAACATCAATACGTCTCGACCTCAATGAGCTAGAAATTGTTTATGTCGCCTCACTTTGCAATACTGTTTGTATTCGAATCGAACGCTTTTGTTTTTCGATACCATACGAATTCGTTCTGTTATTTTTAATTAACAATTCCGTCCTTCTTATGAGTTTTAACCT